TTACTGCTACATGACAAAGATTCTTAGTTACTTCACTTAGTGGAAAGGAATCCATTTGTACTTTCTGTGTCCATTTGCCTTTTGAAGTCCTCATACATCATAGACATTGCAGTTAGTATTTAAACATATCTTTGGGGTGCCTGGGTGGCTTAGTCAGTTAAGCGTCCGACTCTCGCTTAGGTCATGATCTCACGGTTCGTGGGTTCGAGCCCCACGTCGGGCTCTGTGCTGACTGCCAGCTCAGAGCCTGGAGCCTGTTTCAGTCTGTGCCTCCCTCTCTCTCTGACCCTCCCCTGCTCACGCTGTCTCTCTCTCTCTCCTAGAAATAAATAAAACATTAAAAAAAATAAAAAATAAACATATCTTTGATAATGGCAATTCTGAATGAACCCATATTGTCTTTACACTGTCTACTTATGTAGTCTTTTTAGTGATTATAACCACTGAATGGAAGATAGGAAATCTCAGTAACATTTTAAGTACTTTACTTGCAAAGATTCCAAGCTCACATGTAGTCAACCCCATGAATGGACTTAATGCATCAGAAAATATAAAAGAGATGAGTTAAGTTTCACTTCTAGAAACCTAGGTTTATAAGAGAAACCTCAAGGTTATCAATTTGTGCCTAATTTAGGATTGCTTTAATCCTGTAAATCTATGTGAAAATTAAACCCATTGCAGAAAATGCTATCAATTTAGATGTTATAATAATTCAACCTGTTATTCTTTGCTCAGTTCAGACAGCTACTAGTGGAGCGGATGTCTAGACTTCTTTCCCTACCCTTGCCCCACTCCCATATAAAGATCCCATATCCTACAGCACTTAGTAGTTTATTTTTGTCAAAATAGCTATGTTGCCTACCAATTATCAGTGATAACCCTATTTATTTACAAGTTAAATAAATATTCTCTTGAACACTGCAATCTTCTCTATAGGACACATATTTTTGCAGTGTCCTATAGTTAGTTTTGTAGTGTATATGAGTTGAATGGAGCTAATGCCCTCACAGATTCTCTTTGTGACCATTGGTATTTATTTGGAATGTAGCTATCAGAATATATTTGTGGCTATGAAATATTTCATTTTTGTTTTATAGGAAAGCGTCTATCCAAATTTTCTCTCAATTTTTGAATATTTTCTTTATCCAAAATTCAAACTGCCTTTTATTATAACCTTCTTTGTTTAAAAAAAAAAATTATTCTTTCCTCCCTTTCCTACTTCTGCCAAACTGGATTTTATGGACCATTCAATGAAATTTCAATGAAATTTGGCTACCAGACTATATAACCCATCTGGCCTTCAAGAGCTAAAAGCACATACTTTTTTTTCTTCGATCAGATTTCTATGCTGGACTCAGAATCAAGAAGATGATTAGAGTGTGGAGGAAAGCAATTCTTGATTCTCTTTCCTCTCTTATTTAGTTCTTTCATGGCCCAGGACAAATAGAAGTGCTTTGGGACTGTAACCTGCAAAATAAGAGAAGTCAGAGATAACTGTTCTTAAGTTTTCTAAAGCTTTCACTTTGAAGTTTCTTGTAAGTCACTGCCGTCAACATCAGAAAATAGTTCTAACTGTATTTCTTTAAAAAAAATGAAACAAACCAAAAATTTAGTAAAATATAGAATGTACCTTCAAGGAGTTTACAGTTGACTAATGTAGCTAAGACAAATGTTTAAATGCCTATAACATAAGGTGGAGAGTGGTAGGTACCCTTAAAAAATACACAAATAAGATGCAAAATTATTTTAAAGATTGTGGGAAAGATTTTTCTATGCTAATAAGATATCTGCACTACAATTTTCCATTAGAGAAAGAGACAGAGAACTACCAATCTCTATAGTTAGAGTTGTTTCCTACCTTCCTGCTCTTTTTGTTTGTTTGTTTGTTTACCATCTTTCATTTCTGCTGAGCTCTAATGTTCCTCATGTCAGAGTATATCTCACTCTGTATATCCCAATTCCCTAACATACCCGGCTCATAAAATGTATTCAATAAATATTTGTTGAATGGATGTGTGTATCAGTGATAACTAAGTTAGCCTTCTAATAAGAAATTATCTATTACAAAGCATATTCAGCAAATAAACTGTACAGTTAAAAAGTACAGTTTCCTTATGTGGAAACTAATTTGACAATAAACTATTTGTAAAAAACATAAATAAATAAATAAATAATAAAACAAAAAAAGTACAGTTTCCTTCTCAGAAACTAAAAATTTTTAAATGACAACTTTTATAAGGCTATACACAATTTGCACCATAAAGAAAATAAAATATGTTTTAGAAAATATCAGACCTGAGACCTATAAACCTGAATAAAAACAGAAACATCTAGCTCTATTATTGTCTCCAATTACACTGGTTGTAACAGTATGCTTTTATGATATATAATGACAAAGTTGGGACTTCAGTGAAAGCGAGTAATAAATTTATGTTTCTATTGTAAGTAAATGATAAATCATATCATACATTATCCTTTATAAGTATTCACCTACTTAAATTTTAAGTAGAAAGTGTTATTCATATTTAGCACTAAATCTCTAAGGTCTTTCAAGCTTTGAAAATTTTGTAATTTTATGATTGCCCATGGGGGAGAAATATGAATCGTAAGTATAAGCATCTTTATAGGTCTTTTGCTTTGAGTACTTATACAATATCATTCATCTTAGAATGGAAATTCTATGAGGCAGTACCTTCAAGTTAATTCAGTGAATATGTTTGAAGCAGCTTCTGGGGTTGGGGTAGAAGTATAAAACTTAATAAATTACAATGAGTAGGAACTTACAGACTACTAAGGAATATATACAGTCATTACAAAGTGGATTAAAGAAATAGAAGCTTATTTGTCTTGAATATCAAAAGCCTGGAGGCAGATAGTCCAGGACTTATACAGCAGCTCAATATTGTAATCAGAGATACAGGCTCCTTTTTCTTCTTAGGTTTCCCTTTTTACTGTGTGCATTTCCATCCTCCTGGTTAAAAAATGGCTATGGCATGACCCAGTATCTGGTCATGTTCCATGTAGAAAGAAGGGCAAAACTGCCTCCTCTTAAAGCTTTATCTCTCTATCTTTTTATTCACCATAGGAAGCCTGCCCCCAGGGACTTCTTTCAACATCTTATGGGCCAGAATTATGTCATATGGTCACTCTCAGCTGCAGCGTGGCTAAGGATGAATGGAGTTGTGGATAGCAGACAGGATAGCCAAGCAACTCTGTTTGCAGTGACTCCTTTTCTGTTTACCCTCTGGGCTATATACCATTAGGGTTCTAAAGAAAGGCCAAGCTACTTAATGCATGAAGATATAGTGATGATCTAAGAAGTCCCTTTTTGTCATTAAATTATTGACTGATTTAACAAATATTTATTTTTATTGTTGAGTATGTGCCAAATACTGTTCTAGATATTGGAGATAATAACAGTTAGCAAAAAGACAATAGAGCTTACTTTCTACATAGAAGAAGGCTATAAACAAATAAATATAAATGTATTATTATATAAATTATAGGTATGTGGATATGAATATCCACACATGAAGAAAAGTAAAGTGGGCTAAGAAAAAAAATAGAAAGTGATGGTAGGTAATATTCTATATAGGGCATTTCACAAAAGCCTCCCTGATGACCTGAAGTAAACAAGGGATGGATGGAGCCATAATATCTGGGGAAGAATGTCCAAGGAGACAAAGCAGCAAGTACAAAAGCTCTGAGGAGAGATGTGTTTTACATGCTCAAGGACAAGCAAGGAATCAATACGGCTACAGCACAATGATCAAGGGAGGAAATGACAGGAGATGAGGACAGTGGGGCCATAATATGTTGGGCTCCATGGGCCATAGCAAAGATTTTATTTTGAGTGAAATGGAAAGTCATTGGAGAGTTCTGAGCACCGGTTAGCACTGTCCAATTTAAAATGTAAAAGGATCACTATAACTACTGTGTGGAGAATATATTATAGTGGAACAAGGATAGAAGCAGGGGGACCAGTTAGGGGGCTATTCAGTTTTCCAGGAAATAAGTGATGGTTTCAACTATTGTAGTAATTGTGGAGATGGTAAGTAATGGTCAGATTCTATATATATTTCAAAGTTAGTTTAGATATGGTTCTGACAAAAAAGGAGGAATCAAAGATGTCTCCAAAGTTTTGAATTACTAACTGAAAGAATGGAGTTGCTATTTTCTCAGATGAAACAGCAAGAGAATAAGACATTGTAAGGATAAGATAGAAGGGTGGGGAATCAAGAGTTCGATTTTGGACATGTTAGCTTTGAATTGCCTGTTACACAACCAAGTGCATGTTGGATGACTTACATTCTTCTCCACCAGCTGTTTGGATGACATAAATCTAGAATTGAAGGTAGAAGTTAGTATTAGAGATATAAATTAGGAGTTTAAAGTATGGGTGATATTAATGCCATGAAGGGACGTGAATAAGGAGTGAGTAGTCAAATAATAATCTCCTGTGACTTTTCTGAAAATAGAAAATTTCCTATGAAACCCTAAATAAGTTCAAGTTTGAGTATTTCATTTTACTAATTAGCTCAGTAAGCATTCAATATTTGGTATGTGGTTAAGGACATATACTCTGTACCCAGACTACCCAGGTTTGAATTCTGGCTCTGCTGTTACTAGGTCTGGGATTTAGTCCAAGATATGTAAACCTCTTTTTCCTCATCTGTAAAGAAAGATAATAATAATGCCTCCCCCATAAGATTATTGTGAAGATTAATTAGAACAGTGCCACAATGCATAGTAAGCACTGAAAAGGATTATGCAGTAAGATCATTAAACTTCACCAAGTTGTGACAAATAATGTAACATTGCTGATTTGATTTAATGCTCCACCAAAGCAGGCTATATTTTGGAAGCAGGAGAAAATTTCTTACCTTATAATCTTCATTTACAGACATATGAAAATGAGAATGGATGATTCTTATAAAACATTTTCACTTTTTAATCAGTATTTCAGCATCATAGTCTTAGTTAATTATCTTCCTGTTTAGGTCACAGTGCTGTCGATATCACCAAGGTGGCTAGAAGACACCGCATGTCTCCTTTTCCTCTAACGTCTATGGACAAAGCTTTCATCACAGTCCTGGAGATGACTCCGGTGCTTGGGACAGAAATCATCAACTACCGAGGTACTGTTACATTTGCCCATTGCCTTTTCTCTTCATTTTTTCCAAGATTCATATAATATTAATACATGGTTTTTCTGAAAGAGAAAGTTATTAACAATTATCACAATTACTATCATCATTGTTTTTGCTTTTTTGCTTCTTATTTCTACTCAACTCTAAGATCAATCTTCATGGTATACAGAGCAAAGCACCCATAAAACTTCGTTTTCATTAAAAAAGAAGGAAAACAATCAACTATGTTTACCCCCTCTGTCAAAATACCAATACTCTAAATTAAAGAAAGGGTTATCAGCACTAACTGAGGAAAATAGTTAACTGTGAGTCTGCCTAATGTCCTTTTGTCAGAAATGAGAGATAATAAATGTATCTCCTGGGGTGCCTGGGTGGCTTAGTCGGTTAAGTGTCTGACTTATGCTTAGGTCATGATCTCATGGTTCGTGGGTTCGAGCCCCGCGTCGGGCTCTGTGCTGACTGCCAGCTCAGAGCCTGGAGACTGTTTCAGTCTGTGCCTCCCTCTCTCTCTGACCCTCCCCTGCTCACGCTGTCTCTCTCTCTCTCTCCTAGAAATAAATAAAACATTTAAAAAATATATATCTCCTAACCATGTTTTCTTTTGTGGAAAACATCTTTTTAAATGTAAAATATAAAAACTATATTAATTTATTCATGCATCACTGAACAACCAGTCTGACCTCAGTTTTTCTGCTTCATCCATCTTCTCATTTTCAATGAGAGCATATAAGCTCTTAGTTTAATAGCACATAGATACCAGCCTGCGAAAAGACAATGAAAAGGTAGTATTCCCCGATGTTTTCAATTTTTAATCAACCATTTCCCTTTCTAAATATTCAGCATAGAAGTTTTAGTGCAATTCGAATAAAATACAGTTTCTTAATTGTTTTTGTTATGCAGATAAATACAAAAGGATTGATTTTACAAATAAAGGACTTCATTCATGGATCCTAAAATATTCAGACTTCAATGAACATTAGAGATCATCTATATAAACACCATAATTTTTCTGCAAGGAAACTCAGACTCAGCCCAGCAGAAAAGGAATAGGATTAAAGCTCAAGACTTAAAGTTTCCTTTTTACTACATGTTAGTGCTCTTATTTCAGTATTAAAATATAAAAAATAATGATAGAAAACATAACAAATTCTGTTAAAATTCAAAGGTCTATGGAGCACCTGGCTCAGCTGGGAGAGCATGTGACTCTTGATCACAGGGTCATGAGTTCAAACCCCATGTGGGGTATAGACATTACTTAAATAAAACTTTTTTTTACAAAGGTCAGATTTTTTTTCCCAGTAATCTCTACACCACACATGGGCTCAAACTTATGATCCCATAAGATCAAGAATCGCATGCTCTTTCAACTGAGCCAGCCAGATAAGAAACAAAACAGATGAACATAGGGGAAGGAAAAAAGAGAGAGAGAGAGAGAAGGAGCCAAACCATAAGAGACTCTTAACTATTGAGAACAAACTAAGGGTTGATGGAAAGAGGTGGATGAGGGGATGGGCTAGATGGGTGATGGATATTAAGGAGGACACTTGTGATGAGTGTTGGGTATTATATGTAAGTGATGAATCACTAAATTCCATGCCTGAAACCAATTTTACCATATATGTTAGCTAACTAGAATTTAAATAAAAACTTGAGAAAAAAGGCTTAAAACTAGTGAAATATTAAGTGCCCAATTCTGACTATTTGATCCTTGACCCTACTTAGACAAAAGTTGTTTTTATATAGTTATATATCTTTGACTTACATTCTTTTAGATATGTGTATTTCATTAGGCTGAGACCTTTTCTCTCATTTCTGTTTTACTCCTCATTAAAGGAAATAAAGACTTAAAAACTGTTCAGAGTGCAAAATTAGCAATTAACTATATGATTTCAGAAATCAGTTTTAGTGAAATAGGTTTCTTTATATTATTAAAAGCAAAATATTCAGATATTTTCATATCAACATCAAGACATTTTCAGAAAATATAAATATAAACTTAAGCTGGAAAAAAGTTTAAATAATACTTTACCTATTATAAAAATAAGTTAACTGTCACTAGCTTGTTATAATTTTAGTAGAGTTTCCCTTAGCATCAGTCCTTAGGATAATCTCACTGTATATACCTAGTTATATTTAAACAAATTCCAGTCATTCTAAGGAAAAAACAGAACTGAAAATGGCCATTTTTATTTATCTTTTAAGAAAAAAAAAATGCTGTTGCATGGATTCTCTTTTCCCTTCATGTACTTGTTTCCCCTTCATTTGTTCATTAAATCAGTTGTCACTCACAAGGAAACAAACTCGTTATGGATAGTTAACTTCCTTGTCAAGTGTTTCCAGCCATGATGATAAAAAATAATAGTGAGGTTTGTGTTCAACCTTTGAGTTGGATTAAACTCCGGTTTTATTCCAAAAGAGTATTATAATTAAACCCCCTAGGCACTTTAGTTAGGTGTTTAAACGACAATACCGTATACAGAAACATACTCAGTTTTTTCAACATATATTTACTAAACCTCTGCTAAATGTCAGGTACTATGTCAGGTTCTGGATATATAAAGATGAATAAAACAAAACTCCTGCCCCATGGATCTTACTGTAGTTCAGGAGAGAGACAGGTAAATAATGTAGTACTTGTCTCCTTTATTGGCTCTTACAGGCCTGCCTTCCCTTTTCAATTCCTTAAATATAAACGTTCTCTGGAATTTTAGTCTTTGGCCCTTTTTAGATCTTACACATTTACTTAGGATAATCCCATGAGTGTCACGTATTATATGATTTCTTGATCTAGATCACTTCCCAGACCTTGCCTGAGCTCCAGACTCGTATACCAAATGAATACCTGCTGCTCATAAATTTAATATGACCAATACTAAACTTATTTTCTTTACCCCCACATGTTTCTTCTACATCCTCTGGAATCCATGTCTTGTTCTCCATCCCCACTACTATCAGTTTAGATTAGGGTATTTATTATTAACTTCCCAGGTTATTGTAAATTGATTCACCTAACCCAGCTAGCATCCTTCCAATCCATTCTCCATTTGATGCCAAAGTGCAGACATACCTCAGAGATATAGCAGATGTTCCAGACCACCACAAAATAAAGTGAATACTATAATAAAGGAAGCAAGTAAAATGAGTTGTTCAATTTTCCACTGTATATAAAAATTATTTATGCTATATGAACTCTATTAAATGTGCAATAGCATGTCTAAAAAAGAATGTACATACATTTTTAAGTTTTTATTTACATTTTAGTTAGTAAAATGTAACTACATTTACATTTAGTTTTTATTTACATTTTATACATGTAAGTTTTTATTTACATTTTAGTTAGTAAAATGTAACTACATTTACATTTAGTTAGTTAACATATAGTGTAATATTGGTTTCAAGAGAACAGTTTAGTGATGGATTCATCACTTACATGTAACATTCAGTGCTCATCCCAACAATATGGTTGGGATTAATTAATTCATGCCCAATTAATTAATGCCCTCCTTAATATCCATCAACCATCTAGCCCATCCCCCCACCCACCTCCCCTCAAGAAACCCTCAATTTCTTATCTGTAATTAAGAGTCTCTTATGGTTTGCCTCCCTCTCTCTTTTCACCCTCTTCTATGTTCATCAGTTTTGTTTTTTAAATTCCACATATGAATGAAATTATATGGTATTTGTCTTTTTCTGACTTACTTATTTCACTTAGCGTAGTACACTGCAGCTCTATCCGCATCATTGCAAATAAGATTTCGTTATTTTTGATGGCTGAGTAATGTTCCTCTGTGTGTGTGTGTGTGTGTGTGTGTGTGTGTGTGTGTGTGTACCTCGTCTTCTTTATCCATTCATCAGTTGACGGATGTTTGGGCCCTTTACACAATTTAGCAATTGTTGATAATGCTACTATAAACATCAGGGCAGATGTGCTCCTTCAGATCAGTATATTTATATCCTTTGGGTAAATACCTAGTAGTGGATTGTAGGGTAGTTCTATTTTTGAATTTTTTCTAAATTTATTTATTTATTTTGAGAGAGTGAGAAAGCATGAGCAGGGGAAGGACAGAGAGAGAAGAGAGAAGATCCCAAGCAGGCTCTGCACTCTCAGCACAGGGCTTGAACCCACAAACCATGAGATCATGACCTGAACTGAATCAAGAGTTGGATGCTTAACCAACTGAGCCACCAGGCACCCCCTATTTTTAACTTTTTGAGGAACCTCCATACTGTTGTCCAGAGTGGCTGCATCAGTTTGCATTCCCACCAATAGTGGAACCAATAGTTCCCCTTTCTCCACATCCTTGCTGACATCTGTTGTTTCCTGTGTTGTTAATTTTAACCACTCTGACAGGCATGAGGTGGTATCTCATCGTGGTTTTGATTTGTTATTTCCCTGATGATAAGTGCTGTTGAGCATCTCTTCATGTGTCTGTTAGTCATTGGTATGTCTTCTTTGGAAAACTGTCTATTCATATCTTTTTCCCATTTCTGAACTGGATTATTTGTTTTTTGGGTGTTGAGTTTGATAAGTTCTTTATAAATTTTGGATAATTACCCTTCATCATCTATCATTTGCAAATATCTTCTCCCATTCCATATGTTGCCTTTTAGCTTTGTTGATTATTTCCTTCGCTGTGCAGAAACTTTTTATCTTGATGAAGTCCCAATAGTTCATGTTTTTTATTTCCCTTGCCTCTAGAGACATGTAAGAAGTTGCTACAGCCAATGACAGAGGTTGCTGTCTGTGTTCTCCTCTAGGATTTTGATTATATCCTGTCTCATGTTTAGGTATTTCATCCATTTTGGAGGAATGTGCATACCTTAATTTAAAAATACTGCTGGGGCGCCTGGATGTCTCAGTCCTTTGAGTGCCCAAGTCTTGATACTGTTCACATCATGATCCCAGGGTTGTGGGATTGAGCCCCACGTTGGGCTCTGTGCTTTGCATGGAGCCTGTTTAAGATTCTTCCTCTCTCTCTCTCTCTTTC